CAGGTCATAGCACCAGTCTTCATGCTTAGAGGAAGAAAGAAGCCTGGTTCTGCCAGGCCATTAGGACGGTGAGGACGCTGGCAAGCAAGTGGGATCTGGGCAGACAGGCTTGAAGTGAAAACAGAAGGGAACAGGTCATCTGGGGCAGCCTTCAGGAGTCCAGGAACCAGGGATCACAATCAATTCAGAGAAAAAGGCAAAGTTTGAGTGAGGGAGGGAAGCACTGAATGGTTGAGAGAACACAGCCAAGTGGTAGCATTCTTAGGTGTTTTTTGCAGTGGAAGATTCTTGGGTGATAAGAAGACCCAAGGGGTGGCCCCAAGAACGGGCAGCTTAAGAGGAATAGAGGCAAATATCTTACAGATGAGGGGGTCAAGAAAGCTGGAGGAGTCACTCTAACAACACAGGAGCCCTCAGGGTGAGGCCCACGTCAACAAGGAGAAGAGACATTTCACGTCGCTGGCATGTGGCTTTGGGTCACCAGGAGCAGCGCTCTGTGAAGGAGCCAGTAAGGAAACTAAGGCATGGCAGCCACCAAAACAGCAACAACTGTCACCAAAGATGGAATAACTTTCTGCCCAAACCCACCTGGTGTTGGCAAGGATGGAGTCATAGAAAGGGAAAGATACTTACAGTTGTGGGATACAGGCCTTGTGACAAGTATGGAGAGAGCAACAAAGAAGTCTTTTTATTTTCCAATTCATTTTTTTCTAGTAAGAAAGAGTTGCTGGCCATGAATCTGTAGGCCATAAACCTCCACAAAATGTGTGCTGTCTCCAATAACTGATCTACTCCCTCATCTCCAAGAAACAAACAAACCAGAGAAGTATCTGCTCCTACACTGTAGATCCAGAGTATCCTTGAAGCTTATCTGCAAACCAGGCAACACGGGGGCTGCCTGTTGTGAAAGAAATGCAGTCGACCACATACGCAGAACCAGATGGCATCTATCACATCAGCTGATCGTTGTGATTATTACTATTTTCCATAATTGCCCTTCTGGGATCTGCTTTACATGCATCATGCTAAGTACTTGTAATTAGCCAATGAAAGATTCAGAGCTAAGCTAGTTTAAAAAAAGAAAAAACTGAGGCCAATAGGATGGAATATATATAGCAATTCCATCTCAAATGCTAAGTACTTTCAGTCAAAGAGACTTTATCTAGAGATGCCTTTTATTAAAATCAGATGGGATATGTTCACTTTTGTTGTGGCATTCAGACATATTGGACAACTCTACAAATATGCCATTAAAAAATAAAAAGGAAGCCTACCAGTTAAGTAATTCTGATAAATCACGAGGCACAGTCTTAGCAGTAGGTTCCTTGCCAGGAAGAGTCCTTGAGAATGCCAGCCTTCATTGTGGTGATCTAGAAGGAAAGAGCTTTGAAAACAGGCCTTTTTCCCCCTTGAGATTTCACTGTCAGGATCCATAAAAGAATTCAAATGAATCAAAAGGCCCATGTGCACTGGCTGGTTAACTAGGACAGGCTCAACCTTGAGTTCAGAGAACTTTCTAATGCATTCCACCTGCTTCTCCAAAGAACAAAGTTTACCGGACAGAGTGACTGCGAAGCAGTCTGGCTTCCAAAGGGAAAGATAATCACATGGTAGCCAAAATGGCATATCATGGAAGTCCAACTCAACACTGGAAGCATTGTCACTCTTAATAAATTGTCTCATGCCCAAGATACTGAATTTCTTCCTTTTTCTTTTTGCTCAGGCCTTGAAGCACTTTATTACCTGGTCCCCCTGACCCCCACCTACACCTGGCATGATAGGTTCTCTTGGCTTCAGCAGGACGAACATTTCCTTGCCGTGTCCTTCCTCTCCTCCCACACACACCTTCCTCGCTGCCACACGTGGGCTGTAATCCCCCTGCCTCCGCCCAAGCTGCTGCCCTGCCTGGAATTGTTTGCCCTTCTCACCATCTCTCCAAATCCTTCAAGGTCCAGTTCGTGTTCCATTCTCCACAAAATCGTCCCAAGGTGCCAGCCAACACCAATCTTTTCCTTTCCTGATCATCCCTCCCACTTACTGTCAAACTAGGGATAGAATTGCACTGTGCTTGGACTTGAAGATTCTGAGGCTACCTCTGAGCTCAAGGGCACCAGAGCCTTTTAGCAATGGCTGTGAGAATGGTGTGGGAGAGAACAGAGCAGCGTGTTTAGTATTTGCTAACCCTGGACTAGAGCATCCATCTTGACAGTGGTTTGTCTTGGAGCTTAATTTTACATTTCCTCATATTATCAAACTGTATTTAGTCCCACTTCTTATGGCTGTTCTGATAAGATGTATAGATTTTAAAGGGATAGACTTTTGAAGTTTAGAGACAATAACTATGCAAGATGTCAGAGAGTCATAACTGATCCTTCTGCAGGGCCCCTCAAGTTGGGCTTCCCTTCTTGGGGCTGGTTCCACAGGCCTCAAAAAGATAATTTCATGTACCCAGGAGGGATGGATTTCCTGGTGTGTTTGCTCATGAATACACATAGAAATCTACACATATGTATATGTGTCCTATACATATATGCCCACTGTATAAACCAGATCACTGATTCACATGCAGCTGTGGCTGTGCAATCCATCAGCAAGTTCTCAGCCTCTCTGTTCCTTGGTCTTCCCATTGGTAAACACAAACAGAAATAGGACCTGACTTACAGGGTTGTTTTAGAAAGTGCTTAGAACAATGAATAGCACCCACTAGGCACTTATTCACTGTTAATTATTATTTATATCTTTCCACCAGCACATCAAAAATATTTCCATAATAATGCAATAGCTCAAATAGAATAATAAAGCCCATACTGAATTTTTAAGCCTCTAAGGATTATGCTATAATCAGGAATATCAAGATGTCTCACTTGAGATGCCCAATTGTGTGACACACATCTTGTTTTTTCTCTTCTTTTTTACACCATACCTGGGAGCCAACTCCACTCCTGATACTCCTGGTTCATTTCTTATTCTTAGTTTTATTTCCCAGACCATATAGGCAGGTGACTGAGGATCTGTGAATAGAACAGATGAAGCACCACAGCCTCTAGGCCTTTGGATGAAGCTTTTTGCAGTCACTTCCTGCAAATTCTTTTCCCCTACAGCCCACCCCTCTTTCCCCAAAAAGTACTGTCTGGGGTAACGCCCTCCCGAGTTGGACTTGATGCCCTTGGAAAAAGGTGAGGCATGACTGACACGCAGGGAAGGCAGGCAACTGTGAAGACAGCTGGAGGTGAGGCCTTCTAGGTGATTCATCAGGTAGGCAGACTCGCCCTGCCCCTCCTCCAGTCCCAGGGGACACCCTGTCTTATGAAGGAGAAGTCTCTGGTTTGCTGATCTTTCTCAGTAATGTATCAAATTGGTGGCCTGGTATTTTTCCCTAAAAAATTTACCAGTGAGAGCTTTTGTGGTCTTTTTTGCTGTTGCTATTAATAATAAAGGAGTAGTCAAAGCTACCTTAGTTTCTATTGGATAAAAACATGAATGGGTGTGCTTGTTTTTTTTAAGCCTCCAACTCTTTTCAAAGTGCCCCCAGTTCCCAGGTGGGGAAGGTAGTTCAGAGCAGTGGCGGGGAGAGAGGCCAGCTCTCCTGAAGCAAAGAATCCAGAGCCTGCCCTGTGCCCCTTACCTTGATTAGAATTTCTCCTCCTTCCCTTCCTGGTTGTTTTACAAGGTACTGAATGGCTGCACCCAATGTCAAGGCCAAGAGATTGAAATCAAGAGGTTCCTTCTGTCCCCCTCTTCCAGCTCCCTCCCCTGGACAGAGGACAGACAGGCGGAAAGCCTTTGGGGAAGTGCAGTGCCAGAAGGTGTGGAACCAAAGTATTTTAGTATCAGTAGAGGAGGGATACAGAATAAGGGAAGAAATAGGAATTTCAACTTGTTTTTCCTTAAAGGGAAAAAATAGCTCTCCGGGCAAACAGGCCATCCTGGGAGGGAGAAGCCACAATTTCCCCAGGTAGCACATTCAAGAGGGTGAATAAATTGTCCAGAGATGCTGGATAGGGGCCACAGAAATACACACTGTTTAAATACAGTGATGGGAGTTGTTTACAATCTTCTCAAGGATGCCAAAGGGTTTAACAGTCAGTGCTAATAGCTCCCAGCTGCTACCGTGTGGCCAGCTGAGTGGTAGCGTTCCTGTCTTCCTGCTAGAAAAGCTGAAGCAACACAAGTGACTTGCTCAGGGTCAACACCAAGCTTGGGACAGAAATAAATTCTGACTCCTCCCTCCCACCTCTAACCAGCAGCTGGTGCCACCTTATTACTGTACTATCATTTGAATCTGAATCATTTAATTGCTCCTAATTGCAGGCCCTCACTGACCTGTAACCCCCATGTGACTAACTGCAAGGCAAGCAAGGTAGAAATGACTGAAATTTTTACAAAACTCTGGGAATTTAAAAGCTGGGAGCAGGTGGGGGTAGGGAAAAAGTGTTTGAAAACTTGGCTTGGAAGCTGCTGACAAGTACCATGTTTAGGTATTTTAAAAATGAACTTTAAGTGTCACCGCCAATGTATTATATTGGAACAGTGAGGCACTTGGGATTCAAATGGTTGTCATTCAAAAAGGCATGTGGGGGTAAATCTCAGATATTTTCCAAGCAGTCTATCTTCACACTCCTCCTTTTTATGTCCATTAAATCACTGTCTCATTTCAGTGTTTAAACTTCCTTTTTAAGCTCTTTTGTACAGAGCTCTTGGGAGGTGGTGGTACTAGGGGGCCCGGGAAGCAACCAGCCATATACATTCAGATCTGGCCATGGGGCTGGACACATGCTGGGCTCAGGAAAGAAAGTAAATTCCACAGGGCAAATTGCTCTAATTCATTTGTCCACACAGAGACGCCACCTACCTGCCCTCAGGTATTCAGGTAATCGACAGGTGGGCGGAACCTACTGACTGTTTCAATAGCTGAGGTCCCAGCAATGTTTTATCTGTCGGGGCTCCAGTGATGTCACACATTTCCTGCTCTCAACCAATCAGTGCCCTTCTTCCTCTAGGCACCTGTACACCAAGGTTAAGGCTGGTCACTGCACCAGCAGCCCTGGGAGCTGCTGGATTCTCCACAAGCATGAGAGCGGCTGGGTCAGTGCTGCTTTGAGAGCCCCAGACGGACACTTGAAAAGGTGAGTTGAAACCCTCCGTTTTCCTCCTTTGGCATTTAGGCGCCTGGCCCCTGAGGGAGCTGAATGAGGGGAAAACGCAAGCTGAATGGCGGAGCCCTGGGTGTGTGCCCCAGTGGGAGAAACCCTTTTGGGAGGGAAGAGTAGAGAAAAATGCCTTTGACATTTTGGTTGCACAGGAAAGTTCTCTTTCTCCTGGGCCAGATACTTAATCCTTTTTGTTCCTCTTCATCATTAATCCAGCCTCTGCTCGTCTGGGAAGTTGATCTGATTTTTTTGAAACCCTGGAGTAGAGTGGAATGGAGACTTTTTTGAAACTTAACTCAGAGGTACAGACCTGTTCTGCCCGTTCCCTATGGTTGGGAGGCTAGCACCGACTGATTCCAGAGTCGCCTTATTTTTGCCTTAGACCTTACTTTCTGTGTTCATCTCCTAAGAGGCAATTTCCAGCTAAACCTGGGAGACAGGTGGATTCTCCTCCCTACCCAAGTCTGTTCCTCAGACAGGTAAATTCTGCTGCCCTGCTCAGAAGCCCTCCACTCCAGTTTTCCTCCCTCTTTCTTCTTTCAAAAAGTCTGCTGTTTTCTTTGTTCCCTGTTAAACACTCTTTTCAAAACCACTCTGCAGTCTGGATTAGAATTGTTTACACTCGGACCAGGAGTGGCTGCTGGCTGACTTTCAGATAGAGTAATTTCCTCAGGGCTCACAAGAGTGTAACTTCAGGTCTGATTTTCAATCATTATGCACTCTTTTGTTTTCTCTTTTTTTCTTTTAATAGCAAATAATACCAAGGAGATTGTTCTGCCAGGATCTGACTTTTTTTTGTTTTTTAATAATTTTAGCTCTAGGGTCTATTTTCATTTTCTTAATCCTGATCACACAGCCTGCACTACTTCTGTTCTTGACAGCCCAATAACCACATTCTGCCCCCCGTGCAGTTGTTAAGAGTGAGGAAAATAAATCATCTCCAAACTCATTTCCCTACTGGGATGAGCTGCAAAACTGGGGGAGAGAAATCAACAGTTCAGGCAGGCACTTTGTTCTGGATTCCTTCAATCAGCTGTTTTCTGAGACTTCAGTTAGTAAATATGGTTGGGAGGAAATTTTTGCAGGGAATTACGCTCATATTCATCCACCCAGAAATTCAAAGTGCCTATCAATTCTCTGAAAGTATAAATTGAAACAAGCTGAGAAAATTTTTGTCTCAGACAGTTGCTGCTCACCACTGAGAATCTGCCCTGGTCTTATTACCAATTTCTCTCTTAATCCTTGGAGGTTTGCATTGTTCTGTAACTGACCTTTGTGTCTGTTCTTTTTTTGAGAGGTGTGCTTCGGTTGGTGGCTGCTGTTCGTCCCTTACTAGTGTTCTCACTTGATTAAGAGTTGTGTCAGTGAAGGAGAGAAAAAGATCTCTTAGATCTGAATTTTCTGGATAAAAATGTGTCTGTAAAGTCACAAACCTCCCCCACAAGAGTGCATTCCCTCTGGTGTGCCCTGGTTCACTAGTTCTTTGCACAGTAGTTCATTTTTGGCTAAACAGATCAGTTCTTCACTATGTATGAGGGTCCCTGGCTATTAATGGAGCACAACTGGGGATACTCTACTATGCCCCCAGCTAAAAGAAAGGAAAAAAAAAGACAGAACCTGGAATTCAGAGTCAGGTTATCTGCTGGTCTCCTGGATAGTTTGCACATGAGTATTGTTCAAAGGGTGAAAAGATCCTCATGGGTTCCCTTCCCCATCCCTTGGCTCAGGTGGCAATAATGCCTGACTGAAAAATGGAGTCTCTTCCATTTACAATCTTGAGCAAGTGATTTATCTGCTCTGACCCTCAGTTTCTGCATCAGTCAAATGGGACATAATAATTCCTATGATTTAAAGCAGTCTGAGAAGTAAGTGGGGGAACTTATGGACAGTGTCAAGCAGCCAGGCTCTGTGCCAAGTGGGTGCCACATAAAAGCTGGTCCACCCCTCTTGAGAGGATTTTCTTGTACTGCTTGGAGGAGATAGTCTGACCCTGATGGTCAGACCCAGACAAAGATCTTCTGTGGCTGCAATTGTTAGGAACCCTGATAGCTCTTGTTATTATTAATTGTAAGTAATTAACTCCAATATTAACAGTTTGGAGAAAGAAAATGAGCAGGAGACAGGAGAATGCTTATATTATATCATTAAACAAGCCAGGCAGATTGGCCTCACCTGCCTCCCAGGCCATGGCCACCACTGCTACTCCCGCCTTTCCCACCTCAAAGCTCTCATCCACAGAGACCCACAAAATATGGGCCTCCACGGGCCTTGGGGGGAAATGTCCTGTTGTCATTTGCTGTAATCTGACTTGGCAGGCAACCTTTCTGCTTTCAGTTGTGCTATCTCAAGGGCAGACTGGCTGCTTGGTTTCCTCCAATCTTGCAGATAAACACCCCTTGCCACAGCCTGGCAGCTGCTGTGCAGGGCACTGGAAGGAGGAAGCAGCTGGCTTGGAGTCTGCCCTGTACTGTGGAGGGGCTTGTGGATCCCGGATATGGCTGCACCCTTAGTGGAGTACCCTGTGCTCTTCAGTGACCTTGAGTCATTGTATGAGCAGGAGTGTCCCCAGGCTCCCAGGATCTTCTCCAGGTCTCAGCCTGTCCTGCAAAGATAGGGTGAGTTTTCATCACTCAAGAGCAAGGTAACCGCCTAGTGGATTGAGGACAGGGGTTTATACCCTTGAACCTACTTCATAAACTTGAATCCTGGGGCAGAACCTCAATGTCCCTGCCCATCAGTTTCCTTGATTACCCTTTTCCAAGAAAGCGTGCTAAAATAGTGTACTTCACAGCCCCTGTGGTCCTTTACCAAGCTAGATGGCTGCAGACATGGGGGGTAGGTCAGGCTGACTGTAGGGGAGGGGGCAGTGCCACACTAGGAAATATTTGTCGAACGTATTTAATTCTAGGTGGAACAGAGGTACTGCCTTAGAATAGCAGGCCGGTCACTGGTATCGGGCTGTCTGGGTTCAAAACCCAGCTCCACGTGGTACTAGCCATGTAACCTGGAATAATTTATTTAACCCCGTTTACCTCAGCTACAAAATAGGCTTATTGTGAAGAACATATGAGTTGAAATATATAAAAAGCTTAAAATAATACCTGGCACAATGTGAGCTATTACTAGTATTATTTTCTTGAAAGGAAGGCATAGTGGGTAGAATCAGATCTGAGTTCAAAGCCAGGTTCTGCCATGTAATTACTGGGCTGAAAAAGTTTCTTAATAACTCTTTGTCTCAGCTTCATCATCTGGAAAATGGAATACCTCTCAAACCTGGTGCTGTTGGGAGGAATAATTGAAAAGTTTCATGCAAAGTGCCTGGTGTATGGTAACAGCTCAATAAATGTTAACTCCTGTTATATTATTATGGTGAACAACTACATTGGTACAATTAGACTTCTTAGGTCATGCTACTGTTTGGATATAATAATGATGGAAACAGTAGTAAGTTGAGGGCCAGAGACTCTCTGAGCAAAACAGATTTTCTAAAAGATCCCCAAAGGCTAAGAAGGAAAACCTGTTAACACAGATTATCTTGTTTATCTTGGAATTCCAGGGCAGAGTAGCTGCCAGTTGAAATGCCTGGACTTTTGCAGATCCATGGGCAGTCAGATTCTGTGCTGTAAATAAACAGTGAATTCCTCTGGAGTAGCGATTCCTCAGTTCCTGACTCAGTGTCTCCTTTTTAGATTCGAATTCCTCACTTGAAGTGGAGAAATAGGGTCTGCTGGGATCTTGACTATGTGAAAGGACATTCTGGAAGTTGCTGCCAAATGAGGTCACATGAGGGAGGCTGTAAAACGTGTGCTCCTCATTGCCTCAGTATGCGTGGACTTCCTGGTAGTATAGAACTATTCCTGATATTTATGGGCTGGCATCACACAGACTCACTTTTATGTGGGTGGCAAATTTATTATCCTCTGACAGGGCTTTTCAAAACTATTTGGAAGGAAGACTACATCACTCTTCCTGGGTTAAAGGGATTTAACTCCCTACTATCCCCAAATAATAAGGGTCAACATGAAAAACATAAAAGTTGCCAGTATAAAAATTGCCTAAACTGAAATCAGGGACAGAATGTGTTGGTTGTCTCCTGTAAACCTCTTACATTCATCCTTTCCTCTTATTTTGTTCTAAGTGACACAAAGATGCCACAGTGAACAACTGCTTAGTTACAGACTCATTTCCGATCAATACAAGGAAGAACTTGCTAAGAATTCGAGTTGTCCAAAACTCCAGTAGGTTGCCTTTTGGGGCACTGAGATCCCTGTCACTGACAGTAATTGTTTTCTGGTATATAGAATGCCTGGTATGTGTTGTTGAATGAACGAATGAATACCAAGAGGATTTGTATTTCGTTTGCAGAGAATACACTATCTGTAAAATGAAGATTATATCACTGATCCCATAGGATCAGTTTAAAGATTAAGCAAGAAAATAGATGCAAAGTACCTTGCAAAGTATCTGGCATCTAGTGAACTGCTAATTAAATAGCATGATGATTATGCTTCACTTTATATTCTATTCTAAAAAGGAGGGGGCAGAAGGGATGACTGCTTCAGGCAGAGGGTAGACAAAATGACTTCCAAATTTGAGATCTGCAGGTTTACAGTAGTCTCTTTATTTCTCTTCTCATCACCCCTGCCCTTTTTCCTCTGCCTAATAGAACTTCTGCCCTCTACCCTCAGGAGCCATACTCCTGGCTGGTGAACTGATTAATATACTTCTAACAGTGGCGGGACGGTCTGTCCCAATTAACCAGGGACTTTTTTTTTACATCCCAATTTGTGACTTGGAATGTGTAGGTTTAAATTCCACCATTGTTTTCCAGTGACTCTCATTTGCTTCTTATGTTTGATGCATTTGTCATCGGTGCTTTTGTCAAAAGACTTCGCCACGAGTACAGTGGAAACTCTCCAAGAATCTTCTTTAATAGCCTCTTGGCACTGCACACCATGATGTTGAGGTCAAAATATGTCTTTGCTGTGTGTGGAGGTGATTTGCATAACTTGCTTGTGACTGCTTTTGTCAGTCACGTGACCCCCTTTGAGCAGGAGGCTGCATGTGTGGACTCCTGCCTACTCACGGTCGTATGTGACTCACTTCGTGTTTTCAAACTCCTCATTAAGTCTTTTTGTTGTACTTCATCTTCTATGATACACACAGACTCATCTATTCTCTCTGGGCTCCTTTGCTCCCATGGAGCCCTAGCAAATTTGGCTTAACAGTCATTGTGGAAGACATCCATATTCTAACTTAATAATGGATTAAAAGAAAAGTATTATGCTTTTATACCAGGGCA